ATCGGGATATATCGTATCGTGACCCCTCTGTTATATGTATCGTATCGCCAAATTCTTACCAATACACAGCCCTATAATTAACTGTATTTATTAGGAGAAACAATAAACTGAATTTAAGAGCTTCAACTCACCTGGCCTTACAAACCACACCCACTGAACACCTGCTGTTACTCTGACATGTTTTTTAACATGAAGTCTTGAATCTGTAAGATTCTGAAAGTCTAAGTGATGATTTTAATTCATCACTGTTGGATAACAAAAGATGACAATATTGTGTGTTTAAAAGCCTCTCAGTGTCTGAACTGATGACGAACTGAAAACAGGAAACGGTTTAAAGAGAGTCTGATGAGGTGTTTTTGTTGCAGCACTCGCTGCCGCTGCCTCAGGGCGGGAAGCACGCCAACAACCCCCACGTGGTGGAGGACCAGCGCTTCCCCCAGCAGCGGCTCTCCAACAAGGCTCGCCAAAAGACGGACGTCTTCAACCCGGACTACACGGCCGGGTCCTCGCCGTTCTGCGAGAACGACATCTACAGCCGAGCGGCCAGCCTGCAGATCAGGGACGGTCAGAGCGGCGGCGGCAGGAGGCGGGCCAACCCCAACGCCTCCCGCAGGAAGTTTGTCAAGAAGAAGTGATGTCATCGAACAAACTTCAGCTGTAACCCTTCACTTTAATATTTATCAGAAAATCTTTTTTAGTTTCCAGCTGATTCATGATAATAAAGAATCCTGGGAGTGTTTTAACATCTGTTTCTTTCCAGCCTCATGACATTATATTCATCTAAATAAACTCAGTGATGTGTTCACGACCACACTTTGTTTCTGTGAGTTTTACTGATCGCAGGTTTCAGGCGATGCTTCAACATCACTGTTTTGTGTTTTGTATGGTGTCTGTTAGGTAAATAAGCTTATTAAGAGTTCATTCAGCTTATTAAGAGTTAATTCATGTCAACTCAAAAGGTTGTGTGATTTTGACAGAACCATCAGCAGACCTGACAGCTCGGTGTATCTGTAGATAACATCTGATCTCACCACCATTTTAAAACAACCAGCTGTGAACCCTCCATATATAAAATAATTTTAAAAAAGTAAAAATACCTTAACAGAAAATAACTGGTAAAAATTAATTTCACTAACGAGAAAACAACTTAAGTAAAAGTCATTAAACTGTCCACAAAAGTTGGAAAGTAAATATGCCTTTACACTGAAATAAACTGTTGAATTTAATGAAGCCCTTAGCAGACTTTGTTCCACTGGTGAGGAATAAAAAAAAAAAGAAAAAAATGGTGCAGTTTCTGCCTTTAAACATTTCCAGACACTACCAGGGGCTTTTATTTTGAAAATTATCACTCCTTGAAAGCCTTTTAACCTTTATTTTTTTTGTAAGGATGTCAAACTAAAAGGTAAGAACCGGAGGAGGTTGCTGACACCMTAGTTTTCAAAATAAAAGCCCCCGGTAGAGTCTGGAAATGTTTAAATGCAGAAACTGAACCAGTTTTCCATTTTCGCTCACCAGTGGAACAAAGACAGAGGTTCAGTAAATTCAACAGTTTATTTCTTAGTGTGTACAAGTACCAGTACTTTTACTTTCCTGAGKTTTGTGAACAGTTTTATGTCTTTTCTCACCACTGAAATTTATTTTTACCGTTAAGGTATTTTTTATTTTACTTAGTTACTTAGTTGAAGTACTTTACAGACCTCTGCAGATCACACACAGCAAAACTCAACGAGAAGTGGTTTTGATCAACAGTTGGTCTTCGGCTGTTTCTCCCTCAGTTTCAGTCCTTGAATATTTACAGGGATCCTTAAAAAGCCTTGAATTCATCAATCCAAAAATAAGGCCTTAATTAGCCTTAAAAAGGTCTTAAATCGATCTTCAGAAGTCTTAACACATTGTAAGTAGGATGACTGTAATTTGAATCAAATATTAAAATTGGTAACATTTATTTTTGAAATATTCCCATTCAGATGTTCCCCTTTGACATCACTTCCTGTTATTTCACCTGCAGATATCTTAACAACTGTCCATCTGAGCAATGAGAAATTTGTTTTCTAATATGTTAATAATGTTCTTTCCAAAAACTCATTCATATTTCTTACAAAAATTTGATGTCACAGGCACTTTAAGGT